CTGGAAAGCGTATCTATTACATTTACTAAAACCTTTTGGTGGAGAGTTTTTTCTTCATTGTGATTATAATATTAATGACTATAACATTTCACCAATATTTTATAAGGAGATGTTACACTGGTGGTCAGATTTTCGTTCTAGATTTGATCTTGTAAGTCTACGTGAAACAATCATCTGGAACAATCATAACATTAGAGTAAACGGCAAACCTTTATTATAATTATAATAGCGCAAATATTATTCTTTTAAGCGACTTAAAATTTGATTTGAGTAACACAGAGTCCTTTAACCTTGCAAAACGTAATGGTTTAAAAGATTCCAACTTTCTGACCTGGACTGGTGTTCGTTGCGCAGTACCAAGTCATCTAAGAATTCGATGCCACGAAATTAAGAAAGATCATGTCAGATCACTGCAATTTAAAATCGGTGATAAAATCTTTGATCCAGCACTTAGCAAGTCTAGAGATTTCTACGGTTTGCTTATATCCAGTAAGGCGACAGAGTCCAGAGGCTTCACAAAGTTGAAATCTAAATTTTCTATTGATGATGTGGAAACAAAAAAGGCCTTCTCATTAATAAGGTCCTGTATCTGCGAGACATATGTGCAACGCTTTCAATTTAAAATACTAAATGACATTTTATTCACAAATTCCCACTTAGCTAAGATAGGTTTAATACAAAGCGATCTTTGCACTTTTTGCAATACTAGTGCGGAAACAATTGATCACTTATTCTTTTACTGTGTTCACTCACATGCATTTTGGGAAGAATTTGAATCTTATTGGATCGCTATAGCCAAAGAACAAAGGAAACTTGAGTTAAAGACTATTTTAATTGGTGTCACAGATACTAATTGTTCTTTATTTAATTACTTAATCGTTTTAGGTAAGCTACATTTATGGAATTGCCGTAGGAATAATAGTCTTCCTTTTTTCCCCTCGTATAAGGAACTAGTTAAAAGAAAATATGAAACTGAATGTCACATTGCGGCTAAGTTTAATGATAGGAAGATGCTAGAGGCTAAATGGAAACCCATTTTGAATTATAATTTAATAGATACATAGGTGTGTAAGCGATAAAAAAAAAAAAAACTGTAAAAAGTAGGGTAAGAATTGCAGTCTAAGGAAGTATTATATAGTAAGTAGAATAAGTAACGTCTTGTAGGTGGTATTGTAAGTAGTGTTAGTCTTGTTTTGTAAAGTAGTGTTCTTCGTGTTGCAATTAAAAAAAAAAAAAAAAAAAAAAAAAAAAAGATTAGCTGTTAGGTCATCTTTAAATGCACCAACTGTCTTTTTAAAAAGAAAACCCAATGAGTTAAGAATAAACAACTATAATCCTGCCTGCCTCGAGGCTTGGAGAGCAAATATGGATATCCAGTTTGTCCTTGATGTGTATGCATGTGCCATGTATATACTTTCATATATTTCTAAAGCACAAAAAGGAATGAGTGAACTGTTACGACAAGCATGTGATGAAGCCAGAAAAGGAAATTCTAGCATAAAGCAACAAGTCAGAGACATTGGAAACAAATTTTTAAACAGCGTCGAGATAAGTGCACAAGAAGCTGTTTACATTGTTTTACAGCTTCCTATGAAGAAGTCTTCTCGTCAAGTAATATTCATAAATACCACTCCTCCTAATGAAAGAGTGCAGCTTTAAAAGCCAATAAACGATATTCAAGAAATGGAGGATGATTGTGAAGATGTATACACCAATGGTCTTCTGCAACGATATGCAAAGCGCCCTTTGAGTCTTGAGCACTTAACTTTGGCAGATTGGGCTGCATGGTATGACTCTGGAGGAAAACCATATATAAAAAAATCAGTTATAAAGGATGCTGATAACCTTCCATTAGAAACAGCTGATAGTGATGAAAATGATGATGACCTTTTTGATAGCAATGCTACCAATAACAAAAAAAGATCAAAAGCAAGAATTATTAGAAGTGTTTGGTATAACCATGAAAAAAATCCAGAAAAACACTATCGCGAACTAATAATGCCCTTTACATCGTGGAGAAATGAAGACACTGATCTGTTGGCTAATTTTTCTTTCTACCAAGAACGTTTCTTAAATGTTAAAGATTCTATAGATGAGCAAATGAAATTATATGCTGTTTGCAGTGAAAACTTGGATAAAATCCCGGAAAACTTGAATGGGATTGATGCTGATAATGATAACTTTGACTCAATAGCACCATATACACAAAACATAGAATACCAGGATGAGGCTGAGGGTATTCAGGATTTGCATCCTGATCTCAATGAAAGCTATGATTTATCAGAAGATGTTGGAATTCCTTCAGCAGTTGAAAATACTGAACCACTGATAGTAAATGAATTACAAGACCAAGAGTACAGACAATTGGTTCAAACACTTAACCAAAAGCAAAAAGAATTTTTTTATCATATCTTACATCTTGTTAAAACAACAGACAAACCATTCTACTATTTCCTCTCTGGAGGTGCTGGAGTGGGTAAATCCCATCTTATAAAATCTTTGTAGCAGCACTGAAATATTACAATTCCAGAGCTGGTGAGGACTTTAATGAGGTTAAAATACTGTTACTAGCACCTACTGGAAAAGCTGCTTTTGGTATAAAAGGTAATACAATACACATTACCTTGGCAATACCAGCAAGCCAATCTCTAAAGATTTACAAACCTCTCGACTCAAGTAGACTTAACACTCTTAGATGTAAACTTCGGGCTGTCAAACTAATATTTTTGGATGAAATTTCAATGGTTGGCAATACTATGTTTAATGTACAAATAAATAACAGATTAAAAGACATTATGGACAGTAAAGACCCATTTGGAGGTGTAAGCATCATAGCTCTTGGTGATTTATTTCAGCTAGAGCCTGTTATGGATGCCTATGTGTTTAAAGATCTGAAAATTCCGAATATGGAGCTCCTGCCCCTAACCTGTGGCATGAACTTTTTACAATGTTTGAATTAGAAGAAATTATGAGACAGAGAGAGAGTAAAGAATTTGCTTAACTTCTTAACAGGTTAAGAGAAGGTAACCATACTCCAGACGACATTGCAAAACTAAAAGAGAGATGCATTTCAGTAACGTGTAGAAATTATCCAATTGATGTTCCCCATTTATTCATACAGAATTCAAAAGTGGATGAGTTTAATAATAGAGTTCACATGGCTGCAACTGGTGATAAGTATACAATTAAAGCCTTAGATAGTGTTGTAGGAGCTAACTCTGCAGAACTTCGAGATAAGATCTTGAAGCAAGTACCACTTGATCCTAGGAAAACTAAACAATTAGCTTTTAACCTTCAACTTGCGGAAGGTGAAAGAACAAAAATTGCAGTGAATTTAAGGACTGATGATGGTATGACAAATGGTGCTGCTAATGTTATAAGGAGGATACAATTACATGATAGAAACAGGCCTTCTGGAATAATATGGGTAGAATTTGACCATGCACATGTAGGAGAAAAAAACTAGACATGATTATAAGCACTTGTTTGTACAAGGTATTAAGTGCACATGGACTCCTATTAAACCTTTTACTGCACAGTTTGCAGTTGGAAGAAACAGAGCAGCTCAGGTTGTGAGGAAGCAGTTTCCACTGAGACCTGCAGCTGCTAAAACCATTCACAGATCACAAGGTGACACTGAAACAAGGATAGTGGTTAACTTTAACACCAAGAGAGCTATACCTCACATACATTATGTAGGACTGAGTAGGGTAACCCACATTGAGGGATTGTATATAACTGACCTTTGCGAAAGCAAAATAGCTGTAAATCCAGATGTAAAAACAGAAATGCAACATTTACGAACAGAAGGTTACCTCAACCCATCTATTATCCCTACATATCAAACAGTTCAAACTGCTTTTAAATTATGCTTTCTAAATGTACGGTCACTGCATGGGCACATTGAAGACATACGCAAAGACTTGAACTATTCAAGCATTGATCTAAACATTTTCTCAGAAACAAGACTGTGTCATTTAGACAGCAATAGTAACAACATCATTAGTGGTTGTACATTATTTCGAAATGACAATCAGTCTACAGGACTAAACGCGAGACCTTATGGTGGAACAGCAGTGTATAGTAGAATTTCATCCATTCCTGGATATCCAGTTTCTAAGAATGCTAATGGTGTTGAAATAACTATTGTTAAACTTGCAGCAATTCCACATATTACAATAATAGGTGTATATCGTTCACCAAGAGTGGCAATTCAGCAAATGTGTACAGCAATGATGCAACTTCTTGTCCTTCATAGTTCAGAATTCAATATTTTTATTGGAGATTTTAATGTAAACTGGTTGAATGAGAAAGAAAGAATTCCCCTTTATAATCTGTTTGTTAGAGATAACAGTTATAGGCAATTAGTATTATGTTATACCACTGACAACAGAACTACAATAGACCATATTTATACTAACTTACCAGAGTTACACGTAAATTTACACATTTTAGAAACATATTTTTCAGATCATATAGCAATCTGTGCACTGATTAGAACATGAAGTACCTTTTATGCCTTTTTTCTTCATATCATTTTATTAAATTTCAACAAAATCTTAACAGTTATTTTACCATATCTCCAAACTGGATATGGCAGAATATACATGTAACCTGAAACAAAATTTTATGAAAATGTTTCTTCAAAGCAAAAGCAATTTGTCCAATAACTCATACTGTTCTAGGAAACGCTGTTTTTTAGATACTGATTTCAACATTATCGTCAACTGTAGCCAGTAATTTTGTGTCAAAAGAAAGACAATACATGTCTCTAGATTCAGGCTCCTTTTCTTTCCTTTATAATGAATAAGTAAACAAATAAAAAATTATAATTCACCTAGGTAAGGTTTTTTTTTTGGCATTTTGTTGTTATAGTTAAATTTGTAGTAGTAGTCGTAGTCGTCGTCGTCTTTTGATGCAGTGCTCCCTATGTTATTAGAAATTTTGAAATACATTATATTGCTATCAAACAAACTCAAAAGGTTCTTTTTCACTTGCAGGCAATGGAAGAACAAAAAGAAGAGATTGTTGGTTTCTTACACAATGTGTCTCCAACTAAAAAAAGTAGCAAGACATCTTACTTTGACATGTCCATACAAACCACCGATGGCTTAGTAAGAGGAGTCTGCTTCTCCGGAAGTAAACAGGAACACTTTGATCAAATGAGCAAAAAGAAATCTCCAATAAAACTTCGATATCTTAGAATTGAAAGAGCAGGAGATGCAACCACAGTACTGATGAATAACAATGTACTGTTAGAGCCTACAAAAGAAATACCTTTTTCAAGAATTGAGTTGCCAAGTGCCAACAATATCCAATCAATTTCAGCTGCAAACACAAATCAAAGTATCACCATCAAAGCCAAACTTACTCAGATGTCATCAACAAAAAAAGTGAAGACAGAGGATGGTGAAAAAAAAAAGTTTGCCGATCTTGTGGACCCACATGAAGCCATTAAGGTGACACTTTGGGAACAATTCTGTGGATTAGAAGAAGGAAAAACTTATAACTTTCAAAATCTCCAAGTAAAGAAGGAGTACAACTCAAATGGCGTATATTTGAGTACCCCCAAAACAGGGTGCACAATTACAGAAGTTGAGCCATTTTCACAACCTCTCATTAATCCTGCTGAGCTACCTCAGAACTTTACCAATACAACAGCAGCAGCAGAAATACTTGGAGTGCGAAGTGTCACTGCATATCAAGCCTGCTGCAACTGTAACAAAAAGCTGGTAATAGAGACATCTCCCATACTAACCTGTTCAACTTGTGGGCTCAAGCAGAATATGAAGTCCACCATTCAACAATGTTATGTACAACTACTGGTACAAATTAAAGAATCGAAGATCACAGTCACCCTGTTCAACGACATCCTGCATGATATGCTAGCGTCACAAGGAAAGAGCACTCTTCCGATCACTGAAGAAACCATAACTGCCTTTCTTCTAGAGTTACCAACTATAACCAGCATAACATTCAACAACAAAACAAAAATAGTGGAGTCAGTGCAAATCTGAATAAAATGAACAATTTCCTGTCACACATCAGTGGAAATTACTACTGAATACCAAACATTAATAATACCTGTTTTGTTAGTTTGCAACAAACATTTTGTAGACACTGGTTTTAAGTGAAATGATTGTTTCTCTGACTGATAAACATTATTTACAAGTACACGTGCTGCTTTTTTTGGGATAATATTTCTGTTGCGTTACATTTCTGATACATTTCATTTCAATTAAAAGACAAACACTTCAAAATACTTTTAAAAGTATATTCACCTATTAGTTACTTGAACATTAAGTTGATATATTATATTATTGATATATATTTTGTAATTATAATATTATTGTATTTAACAATGTAAATATACTAACTTTGTTTTACCTATGTTTTGTTACAAATTGATTGCATATTACCATTAAATGAAAAACATAATGATTTCCTAGGAATTATTACAACCAGAGACTTTTTCTTGCTTTGCAAAACTGCTACTGCGTTTGCATTACAGTTGTCTTGTGTTACAAAGACTTGAGATACTATGCAATTTTGTTAAAAACTATTGGCTGTTGTATTTCAATTCTTTGATTTAAATATTCTGCTACAAAATAAAAGAAACGTTCACTTTAATGTTAGATTCTTTGCAGTACCATAACACAATAAAAGTTATTTAAACAGTGACGAAGATGTAATCACAATCATGATATTGATGATTGATATAGACGATCCCTTACCTCCAACTGGAGCATTGGACATTCACCACTTCAGTTCCCCATCTTTGTGATGCCTTGAGCATTCCATAGTACTGCCTTTCGGGAGATGTTTCTAGCCAGTTTAACAGTATTCAAAAAAATAGGCGCCTACAGCAGATTCCATTCCACTGCAGCAGACACAAGTACCCATTGGGTACCTATTTTTCTTTTAGTTTTCTTTACCGCATCGCATCAGTTATATCACATTGTTGCCAGTCGCATCAGTTACATCGCTATTACGTTCCCATTGCATTATCAAGGCATTGTTCACAAGGAATCGTTTGTAAGGAATCTAGGAATCAATGGTAGCGTGTACAAGAATTTCTGTAAATTAAACTAAAGTTGTGTTTACATAGTACGGCTCATCAAGGAACAGGTTCCAAGCCTTGAGTTAACATACAGACAAGCAAAGCATCGATGAAGAGGAAGACACTGTAAATCAACAGTGGAAGCAAGTGAAGAACATATTTGATGAAGCAAGTAAAACCTGTCTGGGGATGCAAAAGACGAGAAAGAAGAAAGAATGGATTACACCAGACATGTGGCAGGCTATCGAGGAGAGACGCCAGCTGAAGAAGAAGATAAATGACAGCAAATCAGCCAGACTTTGAGAGAAGTATAGAGCGGCTTACACAGAAACCAACAGGTGTGTCAAAAGAAAGATCAGAACAGATAAGAGAGCATATATGGAAGATCTAGCAAAAGAAGCAGAGGAAACGGCACAAAAGGGAGAGCAGAGAAATGTCTATAAAGTCACTCAACTGATCTGTGGAAAATATAATGGCAATAGAAATGTCCCCATACGAGATAAACAAGGACAGCTCCTCACCTCTGAAAAAGACCAAGAAGCATGTTGGGTAGAGCATTTCAATGAAGTCCTCAACAGACCACCACCAGAAGAGGAGCCTGATATATCAGAAGCTGAGGAGGACTTAAGTGTTGACACCGGACCACCAAAGAAAGAAGAGACCATTGCAGCCATTAATTCTCTAAAAAACCACAAGGCACCTGGCAAAGACCGCATCAATGCTGAACTGTTCAAGGCAGACGCTGTGACTACGGCAAGCATATTGCAGCCACTTTTCAACACCATATGTGACAGAAGGAAAATTCCTGACGATTGGAATAAGGGTGTCATCATCAAGATACCAAAGAAAGGAGCTCTGTCTGACTGTAACAACTGGCGCGGCATTACACTATTATCCACCCCTAGCAAGATCTTAGCGAAAGTCATCATGAAGCGCTTATCACTGGCTGTGGACCATATACTTCGTGAAGAACAGGCAGGTTTCAGGAGAGGAAGGGGCTGTATTGATCATATTTCCACATTGAGAAATATTATTGAACAGAGTACCGAATGGCAGCGAACCCTCTATATCAACTTTGTAGATTTCGCCAAGGCCTTTGACAGTGTGCACCAGCACAGCCTCTGGAAGTTATTACGAGCATATGGAATCCCCTTCCACCTTGTTGAGATCATCAAAAGCTTCTATGACAACTTTACCTGCTGTGTTGGTGATGGTGACATCTTATTTGAAGTTCACACTGGTGTCAGGCAGGGGTGTGTAATGTCTACATTTCTTTTCAACCTTGTTGTGGACTGGATCATGCATCGCACCACTGAAGATCAGGTCAGGGGAATCAGATGGACACCTTTCTCCTACCTGGAAGACCTGGACTACGCAGACGATCTAGCCTTACTATCACACACCCACACCCACATACAAGAGAAGACGCATCACCTCAACACCTTTGCAAAGCAAGTTGGCCTGAACATCAGCAGCAAGAAGACTGAAATTATGGCACTGAACGCTACCAACACACGACCAGTCCAGATTGAAAACGAAGAGCTTCCTTACACAGACAGATTTACCTACCTCGGCAGTATCATCAGTAGAGATGGAGGAACTGACCTGGACATCCAGAGCCGTCTCAACAAGGCCAGAAATTCGCTCAATATGATGAATAAGGTATGGCGTTCTTCCACCTATAGTACTTGTACCAAGCTGAAGCTCTATCATAGCTGCGTCCTTACAACCCTCCTGTATGGCTCAGAATATTGGCACTTAACGGAGAAGGATCTATCAAAACTCTCCACTTTTCACACCAAAAGCCTTCGGCGTATTTTACGTATCTTTTGGCCTAATGTCATTTCCAACAAAGATCTTTTTGAACGGTGTGGAACCGAATCGATGGCTACCATCCTGATGAGGAGACGCTGGAGGTGGATTGGCCATGTCACCCGCCAAGAAGCTTCCATTGCAAAAACTGCTATGCATTGGATGCCAGAAGGGAAACGCAAGCGGGGTCGCCCCAAGACCACATGGCGACGGACAGTTGAGAAGGAAATAAAGGAGATGGGGAAGACCTGAGAGGGCATCAAGTTCATGGCAAGGGATTGCCAGATGTGGAGGGAACACGTTGCTGCCCTACATGCCTGTTAGGCGTAAAGGGCATGAATGAATGAAATAACGTGTCAAAAGCCAATAGACAACGTTGAATTGCTTAACCTAGTTAATACGCAAGTACATAGACATTCACATACATGTCGTAAAAATACTAGCAGCAAATGTAGATTCAACTACCCACAGCCTCCGCCTTTGTCACGGTATCGCCATCTTGAAAATGACGTAATGCTTTTTGGCATGAAAACGAGGTCACGCGTGGTTCTTGACACACTGAACACTCGAGCGATCATGCGGAACAAAGATCACTGTTGTGTTCCTAAGTGCAATAACAATAGATCAAAAGTGCAGTCTAATATAACCTTTCATCAATTCCCGAAAGACAAAGACTTAAGAAGACAGTGGATTATAAAAATTAAGCGTGATGTCGGCCGGTCCTTCAAGGTAAATGGCCTTTTATATATCATAGTTCAGTTTAGCGTCGTTTCAGCGTTGTTTATATAGCAAACCTTATATTTTTTCCGATATCTTTCAGATAACCAACAGTACAAGAGTTTGCTCTGATCATTTTAAACCCACAGATATAAAAAAAACGCTAACAGGAAAAAGTGTACTCGTTAATGGTGCTGTACCATCCGTTTTTGAATGGACAACTTTATCAAAGAAACGAAAGTCACCAACGAAACGCGAATGCACAACACGTACTAACACAACCGAGATTGATGTCGTGGATAATATACAGCCAATCTCCTCTACAGGTATTTATTTTTTATGAAATCGTACTTTAGGCCCGCCCTAAATATTTCTAAACATGTTATTTTCTACATTCCCACAGTCGAAATTGGGCCCATCGAAGATTCAAGCGTAGACGAAAATGTCATCGATACTAGCAGCCACATGGAGGACTCCACCGTAACTACTGACACCACAATCATAACACCTACTGTCAACCTACATGATTATTTATTTACTGAACCCGAAAAGCCTGTAGAAGAGCTACTTGAGGCAGCGCAAGCTCGTATCGAACAATTAGAACAGCTGCTTTCAAAACAATCTTTTTACAGACAACTGAAAGGGATGTCAGACAAACGCGTTAGATTCCATACTGGCTTTTCGTCATTTGCTATTTTTGTGAGTACCTTCAATGCCCTTAGACCCACAGCTGAAAGTATGTTTTCATGGTCCCAAGTACAGAGAGCACGAGCAAAAAGTGGGAAAGATATAAGTAACATGAGAGACACTCTCAAGACATGCAAACTTAGCTTATTTGATCAGTTTTATTTATGCATTACTAAGCTGAGGCTGGGTACTTTTAATGAGAAACTAGCCAGTGAATTTGATATTTCTATTTCAACTGTGAGTAGAGTTTTTATTTCTTGGGTTAACTTTCTCTATTTTGTTTTGGGAACCATTCCTATATGGCCCTCTCGGGCAAAAATTGACAAACATATGCCTAAGTGTTTTAAATTGTTATATCCTAAATGCCGTGGTATTATTGATGCCTCAGAGATCAAGGTACAAGCACCATCTAGTATGGTTTTGAATAGCAATTGCTATTCATCATATAAGAGCCACACAACTTACAAAGGCAATGTTGTAATATCTCCATCTGGGGAAATTATTCATGTAAGTTCTCTTTTTGAAGGAAGTATTTCTGACAAGGAGCTTGTTAAGCAATCAGGTTTGTTGAATTTACTTGAGCCAGGTGATCAAATAATGGCTGATAAAGGATTTACTATAGAGGATCTATTAAAGCCAATAGGTTGTGGAGTAGCAATGCCTGCCTTTTTGTCAAGTAAGGGTCAATTTTCAAAGAAAGAACTTTCAACCAGTAAACAGATACATAATTTAAGAGTCCATGTGGAAAGGGCCATAAGAAGGGTGAAAGAGTTTCACTATTTTGATAAAGTTATACCTCTTACAGTAGCTGGCAGCATTAATCAAATATGGACAGTGGCATGTCTTATTACCAATTTCCAGGGGCCTTTGTTGCATGAAAAGCAATATATCTAAATATGTATACAATTGTTGTAAAATAGATGGAAGAGTAAGCATCATTTAAAGTAAAGTATGTAAGGATCTGTAATACAAATAGTACTAACAACTTTTAACAACTAAGAGTTAGTTGACATTGAGTGAGGGTACACTACGTATTAGGTCCAACCTAGGTAAGAACTATGCCATCTGTTAACATGTGATGTGGAAGGGTGAATAGTAGGGTGGCCCTATCCCCTAGGGGCACCCTTTTCGTATGTACATGGCATATTGGTTAGGCATTAAAATAAACAGTAAAATCAGTAAAAATTATATTGTTAGTACTATTTTTGTTTTA